AAAAGTAAGTTAAGCCGAGATTAAAGCTAATCGGTATTGGTCGAGGTATTGGTAGAAATGGACAGTGGATTAATGTTTATTTATCAATGTGGATTAACTTTAATCTCAGTTTAACTTACTTTTTATTTTTTTTCTATTTCTCAGAATTAGAAAAAGATAAGTAAGTTAAATCGAGATTAAATTTAATCTACATTAATAGAAACGAATGTGAGGCAAAGGAGGTTTCAGGCAACTCTCATTTCGTTCTTCTTCATTTCAGGAATATGAAATGGCAAGAATCGTAGCGTGTGTTGTGCTTGTTTGCCTGAGTGCGTGTTGTAGTATATTAAGTGCGGATGAGAACAGCGACAGCAGTGTCAGTGATGCAATACCGAAGCCGATTTACAAAAGTCCAGAACTATCCGGCTTCGCTCACCTAGCGGAGCACTTTGACAGCGAAGAGAGATTTAGGAATTCGTGGGTGTTGTCGGAAGCAAAGAAGGACGATATCGACGAAGATATCGCTAAATATGACGGTTAATATAACATTTTTTTACATGCTTTTGGCCATTGTGCTCTCTATGTAGACTTAATTTAAAGATAAATCTAACTTTTTGTTATTTAGGAATTTGGTCCATTGAGGAACCTAAGAGACATGGCGAGGACGGAGATCTAGGATTAGTGCTTAAGAGCAAAGCTAGACATGCTGCCGTTTCTACTTTATTAACTAAGCCATTTTACTTCGAAGACAAGCCCTTGATTGTACAGTATGAGGTTAATTTCCAAGAGGGACAGGAATGTGGCGGTGCCTATCTTAAGCTGCTCACGTTAGATGATAAATATGGGGACTTGAAACAGTTCCAAGACAAAACACCATATACCATAATGTTTGGGCCTGATAAGTGTGGCAACGATCACAAGGTATCGGCACATGCGCTTTGTTTATTTTAAATACACTACCGTGTCATAGAGTGGTTACCGACACACATTTCTTTGTACTTGTTTTTTTATTTTTAGCTCCATTTTATATTTCGACATAAAAATCCATTAAACGGTACAATCACAGAGAAACACTGTAAGAAAGGGAAGGACCGTCTGGAAGATTATTTCAAAGATAAGAACCCGCATTTGTATACTCTGATCGTACGGCCTGATAACATTTACGAAATCAAAGTAGATAATAAACTTCAAAGCTCGGGCTCGTTGCTAGACGATTTCGCTCCTCCTGTGAATCCACCTCTGGAGATAGAAGATCCCGACGATAAGCAGCCTGAAGATTGGGACGACCGAGAAAAGATTCCCGATCCATTAGCGGAGAAGCCCGATGACTGGGACGAAGATGCTCCGGCACAGATAGTCGACGAGGAAGACGTCATGCCGGTGGGATGGCTCGAGGACGAGCCGCCCATGATTCCGAATCCGGATTCGGTTAAGCCTGATGATTGGGACGTCGAGATGGACGGTGAATGGGAGGCTCCAGAAGTACCAAATCCAAAATGCGCGGACGTTCCTGGTTGCGGACCGTATAAGCAGAAAATGAAGAAGAATCCACGATACAAAGGAAAATGGCTGGCGCCGCTCGTTAACAATCCTAATTACAAGGGGAAATGGAAGCCTAAACTTATACACAATCCTGATTACTTTAATGATGAACATCCGTTCAAGATGTTGCCAATTGTACGTAAAGAACAGAATGTCTCTTAATTATGTAAATAGTTATTGTAGATACGGTACTTGTGATGTGCGAAAATGTTTTAGAGCGCCGTTGGTTTTGAACTGTGGTCGATGTCTCCCGACATATATTTCGACAATATAATTGTAACGGATGATGAGAAAGTTGCGAAGAAATGGGCGGATGATACTTTTGAGATTCGACGTGTTAAAATTGCTGAGGAAAACGTAAGTATCCTTTCATCCACACTCTAACGATTTTTTTTACATGGCTCATAGTTGTGCAATAAATTTTCTACAGTATGTGTACATGAAATAAAGTTTGCAAATGCGTGTATGTGTGCAAATCAATCAGTTTATCAAATTTAAAGATTGACTTTCGAATATAGGCAATTAATTCTTTAGTATGCAAATTATGACACTCTATAGGATTCTTTGTGGGGTCGAATGATGAAGGCGATGAATTATAAGCCAGGATGGTGGGCATTATATTTCTTGTATTGCGCGATACCAGTTGTAGCTTACATCTGGTATCTGTGCAAACGAGCTCGTGAGGTATTCTCATAGATATGAAAGATAAAAATTAAACGAAGCGTTGAAAGTACTTGCTTGACAACATATTAAAGTTTATTATTACATGTCCAAACGCTAATAACGTATATATTATGTAAATATATATATTTTTTTATATAACGTCTGTTCTGTATTAGATCTTTTACTAAGCTGTAATAGTAATGTTAATTTCAAATTATAATCCTCACTTGCTCCTTTGTAATGAAAAGACCTATTCATTGTTGGCTCATTTCAGCTTCATTTCGATGCTAGAATTTGTATACCTTACACGTATAATAAATTTAGAAATAATAATATATGTATTACAATTATATATCTTATTTAATTATATTAAAAGTATTATTTGAAATGAGATGTAATTGCAATACATAAATTAACATATAGATAAAAATCACTCTGTATGCTTATAATATATAGAATTGTGTGATTATCTGATACAGCTGAGTGTATGGACTCGGATCGTTAAATTTACTGCAGACCATCCATGGATATGGGCAGTATATCTATTGCTAACTGCGATACCAGTAGTACTGTTAATGTATTATTGCTGCTTTTCCGAGGTATAATATCTGATCAAAGTAAAATAATTCAAGTATTCTTGCACAGAAAGTAGCTTATTTTTACAAATATTTAGAAACCCTTAAGTGAATATTTGATAACATTAGTTGTTTTGTAAGCAGAGTTCAAGTCATTATCCAGCATGTAATACTACTTGCTTATCGTTAGTAACATTATATAAATTCAAGATGGTTAAAAGTAACTACAATGTAATTTTCATATTGCTTTGAACATATCAGGACAAAACAGACTTTAAAGAAGAAGATGATGAAAAGCCGTTTTTGGGGATGAACGATGATCTCGACGAGGCTGTGGAAAATGAAAATCAGCAAAATTCTGAACAAAAACCTATTATAGAAGAAATAGAAGATACAGAGAAAGAGACTGGAACGGAGGAAGTAATAGATATTGATAAGGTTGGTAAAACTGTAATTATTTATTTCATAGTGAGAATCGTAATTTATGGTTTCAAGTTTTTCAATTTACACAATGTTTTTTTTTTTTATTATAAATGATCCTCGGTTATATAAAAGTGCGCGTATGATTGTCGCAGGATACATCACTGATCAGTGGCGATGGACCACGACGAAGAAAACCAAATAAAGAATAGGAAGAATAATTATAAAAAATTTAATAAGAATATTATCGCGTTAAGATATTTATGTAATACTGTCACATTCCACATTACACTTGCCATTGTGGATAGTAGGGTTACCAGTCACTAGCAAATTCAGTCACTGCAATGTGATCGATATTTAATTACTCGTCTAAGAATATTGACATTTGATATCGTATATGAAGTCGTATTAGTATATTTGAGGAAACTGTTTTCGCGGATTATGCATATGCTTTTGTGTAATGAGTGATATATGGTGTATCTGTACTCAGAAATTTACAATGGAGTGTTTTCTTTAAAATGAACAATGCCTTAATAATATAGTATTTATGTGTTTTTTAATTACAATATCGTGAATATTGTAGCATTAAAGAATAGCATTTTACTCAGTTTGTATATTTAATATTACAACGGGGCACATTAGTAAGAGATTAAAAAAGTAAAAGAACTGTGAATGTAACATACGTGAATGCAAGGTATGTAAAATTAACGTCCTGATGTAACTAAAAACGGATTTAATACAATTTAATGGTTGCTGTATTCTTCAACTACTATGGCAGAGTCCAATTTGATTGCAATGCGAATAGTATTTATCCACAGAATATGCAAAGTAATCTTTTAATCTATGCATGTGTATGTATAATTTTTTTCTGATATAAAGATACCGAAGAATACAATTGATGAACAGCTTTTAAAGTCATTGACGTAAAACGTAAACAGCATTTATAGACTGTACCATAGTAGTTGATGGTCAGTGATTTGTTATTATTAATTGTTTGTAACACCATTATTGGGTGTAATATTCACGAATTTTAATGTGTTAATGAGTTATTTAAGTTAGAATTCTAAGTCCGTATCCGTACATACTGTAATCAGGTACTACGTTGTTTGTATTTGATTGTTTATGCGAATGAAATAAAATTCAAAGAAATATAGAAAAACGATATAAATTGGAATAATACGATATTACTTGATGTGTGCTAAGTTTCTTCATTGGTTCGCTCAAAAGACATGTGTACAAATGTGAATTATAAGCAAGTCTGCGTTAAATAAAGCACGTTTAAGGACTAGCGGCAGATATGCCGAAACTTTGGTAGCACGATTTGCATGTAGGTACGGCACGCTGCGACAGATGACCAGGTAATTTAGTGTGCACCGCCATGCATCTTGTGCATAGTACATCACCGCAGGACCAACAATGATGCTGAAACAAGATAGTCACAAGTAAAATGATTGAATGCTTTTAAGTAATAATTTATTACAGGGTACACTTGTCAATTGTACCTTTTTGTTAAAAGCATCAAATGTGGTAGAACATCCACATTCTTCCATGTTTCGCGACGATTTCCATTCTAAAGCGACCGTCTTCAATTCATTCTCCAATTGATTTGCTTTTAGTTTAGCTCTCGTCTTCTCGTCGTGATTTGCGGTGTTCTCTATTATAGTCTCCGATAAAGAATCCTTCATGAATTTATTATCAAATTTATGCTTTCCCTTTTTCTGAGCGTTATTCGTATTCAAAAGTTGCCCCAAAGAATTGACTCGCTATTGAAGCCGAAAATCAGAATACAGATATAATAAATCGATAAATATTAATTTTTCGTTAAAATTTATTTTAAAACGCCCACTTATATTATTCGTCCGAATTGTGATACACACTTTTAACAAAAGCTTCACGTGATCCTCCAAAGAACTTGTGTGATCGTGAATTGTCAGAATTAAGTCTTCGCATGTTTCTCTAGGATGTATTCCATTTTCAAATCTGAAGTACAAGCCTCTCCAAAGACTGCAAAAATAATACGGTTTATATTCAAGTTAACATAGAATATAAATCGTACACAAACTATATATTACACGATAGATTGGGGTGCCAATTTAGGTTGAAGAATGTCAACAGTGTCCTCGTTATTGTAACGATTGCATCTGTAGATTGGGTTTATATACTCGTTCATATTATTTGCTAAATAACCCCACAACGAATACGTTCGTTCGGATAATCTGAAATAATAAATTAATTCATACGTATCATAATTTTTTTCGTTTACACTGAATTTATCGTGAAGAGCAATTAATGGTGTAATACCTCAACATTTGCCTTTCTTTTTCCGAATTTCCGATAAATGTGCCGTATTGACAACTATGTACATGATCGTGTAACGTCAAAAGAAAATATTCATTAAATTGAAATTTATATGGAAATTGCTGTAGCAACTGGTACGTTGCGTCGATAAACTGTGTAAATATCGGTGCGAGTTCTTTACCATCGCTACTGACATAGCCACAGCGGTCACTAAATTTATGACCAAATGACAACCAATCCTTTTCTATTAAAGCCTGTTAAAAAAAAAGGAGTTTTCTTAATCATATTTGTAAGGTGGGATAAATTTAATGAGATAATTATAAACGCGCGCGTAGAAACTTAGACGAACAAATGTTGGATTATTTACTTGAAAGCCTTGGATGGTTCTGTAAAATGGATCCAACAGTAATGCAGCTAGAGAGCACACTTGCGCAGTGCGGTCCCATCCATCGCTACAATGCACTACCACGCTCACTCCGTTCGAAACTGCACGTGCGATAAACCAAGCGGTTTCCAGAATAGAGCGAATATGCTTTAACCAGCCGCTGCTTTCTAGGCCGCTTAAGAATGCACTCATGGAGGTCGATCTTTGTACTAAATTCAAATAAGGATAAAATTATTTATTAACAATTTACGGAAATAGCTGATGTCTTGTACACAAACTCCAGATTTTAGTATAATAAGATTTTACACTTACGGTCCAAAAGCTTATTTAAACTCGTTCTCATCACATGAATGTTCTCTATCCCGAAGAAATGAAATTTGATATTGTCATAGAAGTTTTCGTTTTCATATCCTTTTCCTGCAGCTCTGTTAGCAAAGGCATTAATCTAATCCAACAGAATGAAGTTTCGGTTTTTAATTATACCTTATATCCGTTAGGAATAAATATGAAATTATTTATTTTATATATTTATAGTATTTTTCATCACTGAAATAATTAAACGTCGATTTGTTTTCCGATTGAATAAAATATTCTTTCTAAAAAGTTTTAGAAAAAGACGTTTTCTGTTTTTAATACTAAAAAATGAAAAAATGAGAAAAGTAGAAGTAGAATGAAATCTAATATTTAATTGGAAAAGGAATCATATATTTTAATCACACTCACCCGTGGCCTTGTATCGACAACATACATATACCGCGAATTAGGATTTGTACACAATATATTATGCATCATTTCTTCATCTTCGGGACATCTTGCACTAAATCCCGAGAGTGGTTGACTGCAGCGACAAATGGCAGCCTTAAAAAAGTTAATTTTATTTAGAGGAATATCATTTAAGCATTACGCGTTTAGTTTACTACTTTATTCGAACCTTGTTTGAGTGCAAATATGTTAAAACTGGTAGCCTCCCTCTGCTTCTAAACTTTGCGCTGCCTAATAAAATGTTTTTAGTAGAAGCACTGGGAACGTATAAGTACCTTGGATAAGTATCACAAAGCTGAAAGAATCGATGGTTTAGTTAACGGTAAAAATTTTGAAAATATAATATACGATGGATATTTACTTCATAATTAGTATTTAAATACGAGAGTGACCACTCCTCGTTCGGGACACCTTGCCGTTGAAATTCACTTTGCACATTGAAGAAATTCCATCCAGCATGCTTAGGTAGCGTATCTTTACTCTCTTGATAATTGAAGCAATATAAATCTTCTACACTGGCTGTATTAAAATAAAACCAATGAAAATTATAAATACAATTCTCTATCTTATTGGTAATTATCTTAGAATCTGTTCTATATTAGAAGGTATGCGCAAAAATCTAATAAATATGTGACTGCTTATCACCTGGGCAGGATAATTTTAATAATGTGAGATAAATCTCGTGGCAATCGCGTTCCTTCGGGATGACAAATGTGACGATGAAGAAATGCTTGCACTTGATGTACAATGGTGATCCTGTGGTCGTCAATGGCTGTTTCTCTATATTAGCAATATGCGTATATAACACCTGCAATTATGATATTTCGTGGGAAACGTTACTTTTGTCACGTAAACACAGCGAGATAGATAATTAGATTGGATGATTTACCCATATCTTCTTTTTGCCACTTCTTTCAATAAAGACAAGATGCGTCACTGTAAGGTAGAGCGTACCGATGGAATGATTGTTGCTGTACTTATCTAGCATCCTCACGTTCTCCACCTGCAAAATATATGTTTTTCTGAAGATTTATATTACACACACGAATAAAAATAGGGAGACGTTCTTTCAACCCTGCGATTTATTTTTAGATTTATAAATTTAATAAAAAACGAGCATATCAATAAATAGATAATTAATACGTCATTATATCTGTGTGATACGTCTATCGTCCTTAATTCGTTATCGATAAATTACAGAGAGTGATAAATATTGAATCAGTTTATACCTTAGAGACCTTTATCTGATCCATCTTTGTAGCTTTAAAAAAAAACTTGTACGTGCGATATCAAACGGCTATATATTTTATTTAGGCTTATAACGATCGACACACGCGCGTGCACATCATCCGAGCTTCATGATAGCGGCGAATTAAAAAATAATCATTCGTTCTAAGCATACGCGAACACTCGATCAGATATCTTGAGTTAATAGGCGAGGTTACTACTGCCATTCCCTTTAAAAGTGACAGATGGTGACAGATTGCAGTATGTGTGCAACAATCGATGCACTTCGTGTACACAATCGGAGCAGAAATTTTTTTTCGACGAGTTTTGGAACGCCGTCGTGAAAAATTGATGCGGCGCGGGGCGAGGGGCTAGGATTTCCTCCTACGCTGCGTCCTGAAATGCATCAGAAAAGAGTATTTTCGCAGCATCGATTTTTACAACTGCGTTCCGAAACTCATCGAATTGTCAGTTAAACAGCGGCGCATTCAGGCGCATGGCGGAGTACGTAGCGTGAGCATTTCTCGCTAGTGTGTGTTGTTGTCGTCCAATGAGCGTTGAGAAAGGAAAGAATCAGCTGTCAAACTTCGTTAAGCTCGATCGATTCGGTGGGTGAACCCTTGTTGTCACGTCCAATATTATGAAATAAAATGTAATGCAATTTAGAAGGTGCTTGTTATTAAGCTAAAGTTAACATGGAAAATGTTAACATGGACGAGTTGATCCCGAAGTTGATCTCCGGCACATACGAGGAATTCTGTAAAAATATTGTTGTGTTTCTAAAAGTTGTAAGTATTTGGAGATTTATTAATAATATGAGACGTCTCATTATTTCCTGGGAAACGTAAAATCTGTTTTTCGCGTTTTTCGCGGAGATCCATTATAAAGCTTGTAATTTTAGAAGAAATTTTATTTTACATTAATCTTAATTTTATCTTAATTTATTGATTTCACACAATTCTGTATGCTGAATTGTCAAACACATGTTTCACGAAATAATTACTCATATCAATATTGTAAATTCTAATTAATTCATTGTGCATTTGTATATTTATTTTTCTATTTACTCTCCTAGAAACTTTGAATGATATATTAATATTATGCAATTTATATTTCAGTATGATAAAAGGACCAGGTTTGAAGAACTGGATAGTACCTGTTTACGCGAGAAATTATGGAACAGATTATTTTATTATTTAACAGATTACGTTCATATAGACCAACATCATCATTGCTTAGCAGCTTTGAGGATACTCAGGTAAGTTTAATTATGTTATATGTATCTCACACAAAATAATTATAACCTAGTACAATATTTTTCAACAACTAAAGATGATAAAATCGTCAAAAGTTATGAGATGTAACAATTACAAAATCAGTAATTATTTAGTATTCCCATACTTAAAAAAATATATGATTGAAATGTTACATGTTTATTCTGGAGTCATCTGGTGGCATGGAGAATACGTTATATGTTAAAATATATATTTTATAATATATTTATTTTATTTATGTATGCTATATTTATACATTTCTATGTTCTAGCCGCGATAAAACTAACTTAGATGACTTAATCACTGACGATGCAATAAAGATTATATTACAAAATGCGGGCTTGACAAAGATATGCGAAGGAGAACAAATCTCATGTACAATCGGTGAGAATAATTGGAGAATAAATGTGTCTAAGTTCATATAAATACATCTCGGATAGAAGCACATTTATTTAATATAAATTAATATTGAAAATTTAATATAAAATCTATGAAAGAATCTTTATACATTTACTACACCTGTGCTGTATGTCAGACGATACATATATTGAAATATATGAATGCTTTCGATTGCAGTTACGATAGAATCGCTGAAGCTACTGTGCAACTTATTATTTAACAGCGTAAAAGTGCAACGCTTGAAAGTATTGATATCTTCTTTGCCTTATCTCATCGATCGGATCAAAAGTTATACGGATGATGTTCCTCATGATGTAAAATTGTTCGACATGAGAGTACTGTTTTTACTCACCGCACTAAATACATCCACGAGAGATATAGTCAAAACTGATTTGTGTGGTGATGTATATCTTATTAAAATAATAGAGGAATTTGCAGCGCACAATCAGAATAACGAGACACGTGTAATTAAGGTAAAGAGATTCATTATATCATTCGTCGATGTTTTAATCACACGTATCCATCTAAAAATCTAAAAATAATTCAAAATTTTCTCATTACTCTTAGGCCGAGGAGATAACGATAGTCTGCGAAGTTTTAAAAGTTCTATTTAATTTGTATATACATTCAGATAATATCGGGGTTGAGGATCAAGAGAAATATAAGAACTTGGTGTTAATTTTATATAAATTGTTAACTTTTAAATATCCGGTGCAGCAAGACGATCTTGAAAGGTAAAACATATTTGTGATATCTTATTGCAACTTTAGCATTAGAATAAACGTCATATTTATTATTGCGTTTCAGTCACGTTGTCAATTTGCTGACCGTGATACCGTATAGCTGTTATGCGCCAATTGTACAAGCCGCTAAGGGCAACGATTGCAAAGATGTATACCAAAACATGGATATGAGCGCCATATGCGTTTTACTTAGGTTTTTAGATAAGAAATTAGAATGTAAGACACATTTAATAGAAAACTTCTCTCCAATAATTACTGCACTGGTCAGACTCGTCAAATCAGAGAGGATTATTCGCAAATACGTAAGATTACAGGTAAAATAGTTATTTTTATGATATACTTGAAGTTATTCATGCAAACTCTATACTCTGACTTGGTGAAAAGAAAAAGATTTGAATAAATGGTTATCTATTTCCAAAGAGACTGTCCAAAATAATGAAATCATTTAAATTTTTTAGATTCTACCTCCATTAAAGGATGTAATGCATCGTCCTGAAGAAGGGACAACATTAAGGGCTAAATTATGCAAATTATTAACATCGCCTATCACGGAATTGCGCGATCTAGTTGCGGAACTTTTGTTTGTCCTTTGTAAAGAAAATGGTATTTATCTACCATGTTAAAATAAGCCCAGCAGCATAATTTTATCTAGAACTAAAATTGTCGAGAGCTAACATTGTCGATATTGCTTACAGTTGCTCGCATGGTGAAATACACAGGATACGGAAATGCTGCAGGAATGTTTGCTGCTAAAGGATTATTAGGTGGTCGTGGCCAAGCGGAAACAGCTTATTCTTCCGAATCGGAAGATAGCGAAACGGAAGAATATCAGAAGTATAAGGAGCAGTAAGTAATCGGCGAGAAATATATTCGTGAAGAGAGTAAGGATGAAAAGTCTTATAATAATCGGATGATTCTTTATTAAGGATAAACCCAGTAATCGGATGTTTCGAGGAACCCAAACCAAATCCGTTCGAAGGCATGACGGAGGAGCAAAAGGAATACGAAGCTTTAAAACTAGTGAATCTTGTTGATAAATTAACGAGGTGAGTTGTATATATTGAGATTTTATTTTATTCGTCACAGATCAAAGATATGCGTAAAGATACACAATCATATCGAGATCTAATGCTAAATAAAAGCTGTCGTTTTCATATATATTTATAACATTATTGTGTAAACCAGCCATATATTACCAGCTGCACAAACGCCATAATGATAATACATTTTCCTATATGTATAAAAAAATATATATATCGAGATAACGTCGTTGCTTAGGGAGGGAGTCGTGCGTCCTTGCCGCATCGGCGCCGATGGAAAACCAGAGCCGGTAGAACACGTTCTTGAATTGCAGAACGAATTACCGAGACAGCAGTACGGTAGAAAGGACTCGGACTCCGAATAAATATGTTATATATCTCCAAAATACAGGACGATCTGTATGTATAGATGTATCTTTCCGAATAAAGATATTTAAAAAAATTTATTCTCTGTCGTTAGGCCCGCACCAAATTGTCACTTTTATTAGGTAAATATCAGTAACAATCGCTAAATTACATAAAATATATGTGAATATAAATACGAATATCGTATTAAAAAAAAAATCGAGTTAAAGACCCAAGTCGAGTTTTCGCACAAATAAAATCGCGATCCGAGGTGATTACCAGTGAATAAGAAGAATTTGATCTTCAGTTGATTACTTTATTGAAAAAGAACAAAGAACAACATTACAAATTAAACAATTGGCAGGAAATAAAAAATATATAACAGTTTCCAAAATCACATGAAATATTTAAACATTACAATTTTGGTAAAATGTGTTTATGTGCTTTGTGAGCATCACAATATATTATTGCATTGCAGCCTATGCGCAGACAAGAATGTATACTTCTACACGTTTCAAATAACTGCATAGTGATATCATTTGAGAATATCTTAGTATAGGGCGGAACATATGAATTGACAGGTAATGGCAAATTGAGTTGATATGATGAAAGCGATGTACGATCAACAGAGAACATTTATCTTTTTTTCTTTTTAAGGCTAAATCTGTCCATCCTATAATAAGATATTTTCAATATAATACATTTGACAAATATATAAGTAGCAAATGTTCCGTATCTTTAATTATGTAATACAGTATGTAGATTAAAATATTTTTTTTTCTTTTTTTTGTAAAAGTGTATATAGATGTGTATACGTATAATACCATAAATTTGAATATTTTATATAAAAATGAAACTAAAATTTGGTACAAGATAGAAAAAAAGCTGATTTGCGGTAAATAAAAAGAAAAAAAAAAGTAATAGAAGAGAGTTTAGATCTGCGTTACAGATATTTCGGGGACTAGTCTTGACAAACTTTGGAAGATTAAAAATCGTAAAACTCGTAAACTAAGAGAGATATATAGATACATATTTGAAATACTTTGAAATTCAAGTAGTCCGACGACGGGGGGGGGGGGGGGGGGGGGGTGTTTTAATACAAAGGCTGAGTAGTCTCAAAGGGAACTGATTTGTGTGTGTACACAGTCGATCTCTGGACGTGTATAACTCTAAATAATACGTTACATTACAAGATGACCATGCTCCTTGGCATCCCATTAGCATATAAAAAATATATTGATATACACGCTTTCCATATTGCATTACAATTTACCTCCTTTTTTCGTCAGTTGTACTATTCTTATACAGTTTACATTTTGAAGTGTATAAGTGATGTCGGAACATTTAAGATCTTTTCTTTATTTTTTTCTCTTTCCCCAGAAATAGCTCATTCTATGCAAAATACCAATGGAGGTCTCAGGAAAACATGGTTTACACACAGTAATCCGCAGTATCGATTCAGGACAGCTGTTTACAATATTTGTATGTGTACAAACATAGGTTGAATCGTTAGAAAGTTCATTTCAGATATACATAGTACATGTTATTTAGTGTGTTATTTAGATAGATTTGAGGGAAACGACGCTAGAACTAATTTTGCGCAGAGAAACGTGACGGAGCCAGGCTTAACTTTCGGTAAAGCACAACCGCTCGATGTAGACGATAGACGCTTAAAATTTTCGATTTACGCGACAAGCTGCAAGTGAGCTGTGTTATGAGCTAGCAAGAAGCTTTACGGATTCCAAATGTCGCTTTACCGTAAATAGTTTCTCTCTCTCTCTTTCTCTCTCTCTCTCAGTCAGCCTCGCGATCACTACTTAAAAGTAAGTGGAAACACGGAGATCACCGAACGGATATATTCGAGGGTATGCTACTCGACACAGGTTGACGCGCTCTTCAGCATACCGGGTTTGGAATGCAACTGTATGTAATGTGGGTTTTTTTTTTCAGTGGTCAATTTGATATGTAAACAAAGTACCTCCAAAAAGGAACGTGTTGGTAATATCCAAAAATAAATATTACACGTGTATAGGGCGATGGCGAAAGCGTCTTTACCCTTTCTCTCAGCCTGTTAAGTATTACATCGACTAATGCAAAATAAATAAAGCTAGTGCTGTTGAGGAATGAAACCAAGTAACAGTATATACGCCATTAACATGCCATTCGCGTTACTTACTCTCTAAAGATAGAATATATAATATATATATATTAAATATTTGTACTTTAACTGACTAAGCAAGGATTTAATCGTAATTTTTTGTCTTCTTACTCTAAGAACTTCGACACCCGCGCGCGACGCGAACTTAAAAAAAAAAAACTTATTAAGAATAAAATAAACTTATAAGGAATAAAACAAATCGTAAGCAATAATATACATGTTATATAAATACTCTGATTAGTCTGTTTTGGCACTAAAGAATTTAACTTTTTTCTATCCCACGAGGTGACAGATAAAATGATCGATTTGGAATGCAGTTAAATCGTTAAAGTAGAATTAACATCAATACTTGTTACGAACTAATCGCTTTTTTTCTGCCTTCTCCCACGAGGTAGTATGACAAGCTGTATAGAATTCCTTGTCATCCCACCTCAGATTGAGTATTTGAAACAAAGAGAAAAAAAATTAATAATATTGGCAACAAAAACGTAAAAAATTAAAGCGAAGACGATAAACGTGTGTATGCGCGTATCTGAAAAAGAACACAATTAAAATGAAATGAATTGTATAATAGAAACCGATCGAGGAGATAACGTCTTCTTATCTTTTCGAAGTAAAATACATAACTATGGCGAGAAATTTATAAAACCAATTAAACAAAACAATATATAAATAATATAAATACACGTTTAAGAGCAATCCCGCTTTCCCGGATTGCCCGAATAAAAACGTAATAGATCAAAATATATATTAGCAAGCTCGTACCACGTATTCCCCGGCAATACCCTGCCGCAGAAAAAATGATCTAATGTATCCAAATAAGTACGCTATAATAGCGTCGGAAACAGCCAATCGAACACATAACGCTTGCATAAGGGTAAAAATTAATAATTACATAGTATAAGACGATGTATATGATCGAATAAGGAATAAAAATATTATTACAAAAATAACGCGGAACGCTTACACATAATGAGCTACGGCTTTTTCTTTCTCCTTTTCTTTTTTTTTTTTTTTTTTGATCATAGATTGTTGACCCTCTTTTTTTTCTCTCTTGTATATAAATACAATTTAAATTATGCTGAAGGCATGAAAAAGTAAACATTAATCACGGACTTTTTTTTTTAGTGTATAAGCCATGTCCAGTAAAGTGATGTAAAGATGTTAATACAAAGCGCAATTCGTAAGATAACTCTTTTCGTTACGCTTTTTCTTTCATTTATAACCAGCTATATAGCGTTAATTGGCCATGCCCTAATCAATATAGCAAAGTCATACTCTTTTTTTTTCTTTAGGATTCTAGGAAGACTATGATTAACCGTAGGCTAGAATTCAGTTTATGTCGTGTCATGTTAGTCCTATTATTTATATAATTGTAGCTGTCGCGTTAATGCTTGTGAACATCGCAGTAATTCTTATTGTATAATATATACGACTCTTTTCTTTTTCTTTCTTCCTCTTTTTTTTTTTTTTTTTTGAAACCAGGAACATATTCGTGTGTGTGATATATAGCAACGATTTCCTCATCGGATACACGACATATTTTACGATTGACAAGTATTGTGTCTTATACAATTCGCGCAAATCGTAATTCGCGAAATTAGAAACGGAGCGACGCGAGGCGCTCGCAACTCCGTCTTCCTCGTGTTGCCAAGTTTATCGTAAAACATAGCTTGTAAAACGTCACGTTTCGAAAGCAATTTTGCAACGGGAAACAAACGTGATCGCGCACTAACTCCGATGTTATAAATAAAAACAGGTGGCAACTCTACTATTATCAAAAAAGAAACGGAAATGGTAATTTTAACTCCACGGCAAACGCAACATTCGAAAATTCGACCGTCCAATAAATATGTAAATTCAGACAATTCTGCTTGAAAAATTATGTCGGAGAACCTGTGGCACCTAAAAGGCCTTGGAAGTTGTATAGCAATAAAAATAGTACTGTTAAAAGTAATACACACAGAAACCTATCCCATGCTCGAAATACGACCTTCGATTTACACCGCCAGTTGTAAAACTGTTTAGTGTGGATAGTTATGAGAGCTTTTAATATTAGTTTAACAATGTAAGCAAAGTTTATCTATTATACGTACAGAGTGACTATATAATTCTATACATATTAGGATAATAAGACTTTTGAGATTGTAAAAATCATCAAAAAATCTATCACAATTACCATTTACGTAACAAGTAATTCTCGTTCTTTTCTTTTTATATATTATTGTTGTAATTTAAACATCAAGGCAAATAAGGGGTGAATTTCAACAGTGGCCTAAATTAGCCAAGTAGTCTTCCACAGAGATAAAAATATGTAAAGAGTAAATCTATACTAAAATATTCAAGTATATATAAGGTGAGCGTAATATAATAATTTTGTGAGGTAAAAGACCCTCTCGTTAATGGTCATCCATTCGTTACACTATGAGTTTTTTTTTTTATTTTTAATATGACTGGCAAAAATTTTGCAACATGTTCTCTCTTTATTTTGAATATCTTCTTTTTATATTTAACGCGTATCATTAGAGACGATTGACGGCCTGCACTGCGACAGGCGTTATTGTGCTTGTAAAAACACCTCGCAGGCGGCAACCAATGGTATCTCACATTGATACACTTCTAATCAATATTTACCTAGCAACAACATCAGAGACTCTTTAAGGACACAACTTATCCTGACGATACTATTATCACAGGCATTATTTATATAACTCTGCTAACCATGACTATTAAATATTTCAGAATTAGTTTTTCTTTTCTTTTTTTCTTTTTATATATAAAATTAAAACTTCTAACGTTATACGAGAGATGAGTACGACTGATTAGCTTAGGTGTATGTATGTAGGCTTCGTGCAATTTACTACAAATGCCGATGTTATGCGCGAACTTTAAAATAGCCTCCTAGTACTGTCCCACTTTTTGCGTTTCTCGTTTCGTCTAAATTGTTTTCACTTGCTTCACACGAGTAATGAAACCAGACATTATCGATATAATTTTCCTGTATGCAAACGAATTTGATAAAGCTAGTCAAGTATAAATAAATATATATATATATATATATGCTGTGTATATATATATATTATATGTATATATGGATGTGCTACCTAGCATTTGGTATGGCAAGATAGATTTATAATTAAACGTTTGTAGATAATGTAAGGTAACACAGTGTAGCAATCTGCCAAATATCCGATGTATATGTTGTATACACATTGCATTTTAGTTCAATCAAATCTTAAGGCTGATCATGTAAACAACCCTAAAAAATATGTGTATTTCTATATATGTATGTGTCTTATGTGGTTTTTTCCTTTTTCATGTATCATGTTAATATATACATAAATAGAGGTTGTTTAGCAAACTGTACGTTATTTCCTTTTTTTTTTTTACATAGATAAAGTATCGTCCCTATATGATATACCGGTGGTATATATATATTATGTACTTACGAATCTTATATAATATATTACACAAAATCGCTCCCCTGCATTGTAAAAAATGCGCGGGAACGATTTCTGTAATTTTATAACAAATACATTTACATGGTATGGATACATTATTCACTAGCACCACGAACCAATAATTCACACACGCATATATATCATATTCATATGGTGGACCATAATAAAGCATCCTGAGTAAATATTGTAACCATTATGTGTCTCGTCTAATTTTAACAATGCACAAATGGGATCTACTCGTTTGTCTCATAAGTGTAAATAATTATTTCACTTTTTTTTTTACGCTCAAAGTACCTTTTCTGTACGACACTTTTTATATAAGATATTAAATGTTTGATTTTCAACATACCATAATCTATTCCTTGCACATTAACGTTGTTTTTATATTTATGTTCTCAACTATCATTTTCAAACGCGCAGAAAGAAATCAGGAACATAGCTCTCGTTAAGCTTCGTGCCTGCTGCAATGAGGAGTATTGTTTTTCATTCTCTTCTTTAGAAATACGATATGATAAGAGCAGGAAGTACTACCAACTACCTCGCAGCATGCAACGTTCTTTTTTTTTTGTCTTTTTTTCCTATTAAGCGAAAAATTTTGATCCTTTCATCGTGAAATTTATCCTGCTGAATTTATTAGTTACTTAGAAGCTCTCTTAAAGGAAAACTTTTTAAACGTAATCTGTGCACTTATATGCATCTTGAAGCATCAGTTAGGACTAAGAAGACAAACATCCTTGATTAATAAAAAATCAGGACGAGAACGTCTTGTTCCGAGCACGAATCGAAAAACCAGTGTATAGAAAGTGCTCGTCGGAGACTAGAATAATTTGATTTATAAACATACTTAAAATACTGACATGTCAAAAATGATGTACAACAACCAATTTTGACGGAAGGCCATTATAAATTGCTTTCTCTACTACAAGCGATCCAACTGGCTGGTTGGTTGCTTACTGGTTGATATAGCTTACTGCTTCTCTCTTTTTTTTATATAACTGGTTCCACTTAGTTAATTTAATTTACTTTGGCAGTTTACCAAAATGCAAATTGCTAAGTTACTATTATACTGTTTGGTCGGAGACGTACGTTACCTTTCTGCTTTTTTTTTTGTTTTCAACATTGTTACTTTCATAAAACGGGGACGCATTATATTTTTACAACTATTAAAGCTGCATGCTGCACTTGTTTCTATTGCTTCAATAGGCCCAATATTCGAACGTAATGCCTTGGGCATGCCTTTCCCACCTTTCGTTGAGAGCAGTTTCCAAAGAAGTTTCCACTTGCAGGAGGAAGTTTATAACATACTTACTCGTCTGATGCCACTTCACAATATATAAAGAGTGTTTAATACAAGGACATGGTGGTTGTTTTTGGCCAGTGTTACAATATATCCTTCCGAAGTTATCTTCAAGCCACAACATCGAGACACCTAGGAAATATAACATTATAACATTTAAAAAAGCGCTATTATTTTAAAAATCATTACATTTATAAATAGTTTAGTAAAAAAAACATTTAGTAAGATAAAATAAAACATAAAGTTATCTTATAAGATACTAATATTAAATTGATTTTTATTTTTAACTGATCAGTACAACAGTTCATTATTACTGGTAATCAGAGTTTTAAAACGATAATATATGTAAACTAAAGAAAAGTATGGAATGACATTTGGCTCCATTTGAAAGCAATTGATCCATTATTTATAGATCTTAGGTTCGATTCCTGTCATTCCATATATTGACTTTATAAAACATTATTGAAAAAAGTTGACAGATATAAATAAAGAAGCTAAACGATAACTTGTTTCGGAAACTCACGTTTCATTTACATTATATTAAAAAAATATATATACATCCAGGAATAAAATGTAAAAGATGTAACACTCTACCTTTACATATGGACATTCAAATTCTGATATTAAGGAGCCCGCTCTGGAGAAGACAGCTACATGGAAACGATTACCATGTGAATCTCCAATTAATACATCTCCTGCATCGCTAATATCAATCCCGTTCGGGAAGTTTGTTACATTCTCACAGCCAATGCGACGCAGGAATTTACCCTCTTCGTTGAACACCACAACACAATGTCCTTTGAAGTCGCAAACAAAATATTCTTTGCCTAAAAAATTTTACACAAAATTTATATAATTTGCATGCAATTCAATTATTAATATTATAAATTATATAGTTTGTCTACTAAGCGCAATTTAATTATAATTTTATTGGTATAAGTACTGCTATTGAGAAAGATTATGCTTACCACTGATAGCAATATCACTTGGTTCTCTCATATAGTCACTACAATCAAACCACCTCAAAAGGTCTCCTGTATCACTGATTACGAACACAGTTGGCGACACACTGTCAACAGCCACAATATGACCTTGGCTGGTAACAGCTAGGCCAGCTACGATATCGATGTAACGAATAGCGATCTTCTTTATAAAGTGACCATTCTTCGTAAATATCTGCATTCGGGATCGTTCATTTCCACGATCGCACACAACAAATTTGCCATTATTTCTCATAACGGCTACTTTCCTGGGGTACCATAATTGTCCCTCTTCTTTACCAGGAACACCGAATTGAAATTTGAAAGTACCAGTCTTATCAAAAATCTAGAATCAACATAGACAAAGATTTATATAAAAGTCTGTGCTTTATACACTTTTTTTTCTATAACAAAGTACTTGTTGCTAGCATGTATCATTATACATACCTGAATTCTATGATTATTTGTATCCGCGACGATAATATCTTCATCAGTTCCCAGACAGAATCCATGAGGCGAATTAAATTGCCCTTTACTGGGTCCTAATTGTCCAAACTTGCTTCGGATATGCATAGGCGTTAATTTTGTATTCTGGGTTCTTGGATGACCAGGATAATTCCCTGTTCCTGATCCGGTTACGTGATTGGCAACGGTATTTCCTACTACTACAGGCATATTATGCATAGAATCACCTATTAAGTCATCTAAAAATAAAATATCAATATTGGTAAGGGTATGCAGTAACTATATCTGATATTGAGAAAAACTATTTCTTCTTGAATCTTTTGTTTAAGATACAATAACTATGCAAAATATATTGTTATAATGTAAGACAAGTATAAAAAAAATTTTTTCGAGTGATATTTATTGATATACACGAAAATCGGGATAATCTTACCAGCACCCTGTGAAAGTATCGGCGAAGTAGAAGAGGATAATGATTGAAATCCTCCATTTAATAGACTATTTGCAGCCAAAGGACCTAGGTTTGGGTTATCTACAATGGCTGGTGAAGGTCCACGTCCCAATACTAGTCCGCCACCACCATTAATGGTGGTATTTCCCAGATCTGTATCGAATAGATGCAGTAATAGTAAAAGTAATGATACATACAATTTCGATAATTTTTTTATATACACTAATAATTCTCAACTGTATTTCAATATTTCAGAGTATAAATAATATTATATATTAATACAAATATATTATTTTCTTTCAAATTACACTTTAAAATAAGATAGAGGTCGTATTAGATCTAATTCTAATTTTGTCCCTTCAAAAGTTGTCATATATCTTATAAATGAATTATCAAGAGCTCTTGAAAATTGAATTTGCAATTTAATTCAGTTTAATTTATTTCTGTCAAATTATATTTTTAGAAAATTTGACACAATATTTAAATCTGACAAGTTAGTTCGCATTACCTCCTGTCGAAATATATGCTCAAGAAGTATATTTTAGACATATTTTAAAATGTCACTTAAAGTGAAATAATATAATTATATGTCGTGTAAAATAAAAAAAATTTCTAATTTTAACGAAAGTAGATGTAGGATAAAAATAATAGTACTAATAAAAATGGGAAAAAAACTTAAACATGAACCAATAGTTCTTAAGGTACCTGTGAATCTGTGGGAAAATCTGGAAATGTATGGGATTATGTCTGGAAGAAATAAGAGGGGAGGACATTGGGATTACTAGAGCAAATTCATAAACTTTTAATGTCACACTTCTTACCTTGATTGCCAAGAGTATTTCCTAATTTTGCAAGAGCTTGCAAATTATTAATGGCATGGCTCGTAGAACTTAGGTCTCCAGCAAATAAATCTGCCAAAGTGAAGGACGGAGTTGGACTAGGATTCGAGCTAGGTCCAACTACACCAGTATCGCCCACCATCTCTACCTTCTCCGCTAAACTGGCCAGCTGTTGTAGATTGTACTCTTGAATGCTAGTCAATCCGTGGATAGGAACCGAACCTGGTGGAATAGGTACAGGTGGTGGAGGAGGTGGGATATTTTGAGGACTTGAGGTCGGTGGAATAATGAATGAAGGTTCACCTTCAAAGGAGGATTGCATCGACGTGGGAAGTGAAATGGGAGAGCTTGTGCTGATAGAACTTGGACAACCCATTGAGGTGGTATGAACTATTTGCTGATTTGTAGAGACACCTGATACCGTTGAGATTGGTTCAGGTTGAGCTTTCACTTCTAGCGTACTTTCAGTGCGAAATTTTCCAAATACCTCCTGTAATAATTTTTCACACATCGGTTGTTACAAGGATATGTAATTGGATAAAATGTATTATTGATTATGCATATTTTACCTTCATAGTTTTCTCAAATTGATCATAGTCGGTTTGAAATTCGATAGAGAATGTTACATTGCGTTTTGGTGTATTTTTTATTAAATTCATCAGTTGCGCTCCTACAATACGCCGAAGTGCTAAGATTTCCACTGCATCGCCGTGTTCCAGCAGTCTCGAAGTAAAACGACAAGCATCTTCTATTTTTTCTGCGGTCTTCTCAACACTGCAACAAAATTTCAAACGTAGCAGAATATGTTCATACATGTTTTCGTAAAAAGAATAGATGCCTTCATATCGACAGGACCGTCTTATTTCGACAAATGTTATTACCAAAAATTATGTTTTACTCATGTCCTTCTTTCTAGTACAAGTATCTCCTTTCTTTTAAATTATCTTAATCTTTAGTAACATATATATGTAACATATATACATATAAGCAACGATGACTAAATAGACAATTATAAAAATGTATATACCCATGAAAAGCATCCATGATTTCGAGTTCTCTGTTTGAATGCAATTTCTCAAGGTCGGATAACGCATTGTCTTTACATTTCTCTAGTATGGCCTTGTAACTTTGAAAAGTCTCCATAATTAAATCTTTTGCTTGATCATGTTGTACTTGCAGCTCGCTAAGCGCATTTTCCAGTTGTACCGTAACCTGATCGCATTCAGCAATTTTTGATTTACTTTCAGTCATCAGGTTAATTATTTCCTCCTTCTGCCGTGGTTCCGCATCCGTCAGTCGTTCGTATTGATGCTCCGGTGCTTTGTGTTCCACAAGCAGACACTCATTGCAAATAGGTTCCTGATCACACATAATTTAACACTTCTCATTTAAAATTCTATTAATGATAGTAAGACTAACGCGATAAACAAAATGTCAGGCATACAATATGTGGAGAAATAAATACATGGAAGTATTCTTTTATATGTAGAAGATACAAGATTGATGAATTATTTTCAAAAATAAAGTTAATTTCTTTTCTATATGTATGAAAGGAAATATATACTATATACTTCAAGCAATATAGAATTAAATGCATTATATATTACTTGCAATTTTATATTTTTTGACAAGTATTCGTTTCAATGAAAATATTTATAAAAGAATCTATCATAGCTATATTGATAATTTAAATTACAATGTATTAATGGTGTTATTATCTCGATAAAAGTCACAATAGGAAGATCAGTCTTAGACTGCTTAAAATATGTTAAGAAATGCCAAGCGACAATCACAGACTAAATTACATAAAAGCATTATCGAAAAGTATCCCCACAAAAGTTTCTTACCTGGCACGTGTGACAGTAGAACTTCATATTCTCAGCAGGATGACACTCGCAAAATATCGGTTTGTGTATCGGGATAGCTTCGTTGGATTGCTTCAAATCTTCAAAGGCAACTACTTTGTGATGCTCGAAGCAGCGCATGAACTGATGCGCCGTGTTGCAGTTTGGGCACAGGAAATTGGCGCAATCCGAGCAACGCGCCACCGCGCTCTCTTTGGCCTTGCAGGAGGTACAGAGTACTGCCATGTTCTCGATCGCGGACATATCCAATATATTGGTGAGAACATAGTCGCACGTGAGCGACGCGGCGCCCTTAGAACTAACGGAAGTGTCTTGACGGCATACGGGACAGCTTATGACCGAGCCCACTTTGGAGTCCCCGGCCTCGTCCATCAGCAGCTTGTCCAGACAGGCCTCGCAGAACACGTGCAGGCAGGAGAGGACCCTGGGCGAGCACAGCTTGCTCATGCAGAGGGCGCAGCCCTGATTGCTGGCCTCCCCGTTGCCGCACGCCATCTCCTCCAGGGCATCGCCGGGATTCCCGCCGTTGGTGTAGCCGCCGACGGAGTTGACGTTACCTCGATCGCCGAATATATCGCCGCCGTCGATCTCCTCGGTGCCAGACGGGGTGACGACGATGCCACCGTTGCTGCAGCTGCTGGCACTGCTGCCTCCACCGCCACCACCACCGCCGCCGCCGACGCTGCCGCTGCCATTCGCGACCGTCGGCACCGAGGTGGCTCCGGACGGAACGGCCACCGTGGACGATGCCATCCCGCGAATCCCGCGATGGCGTCCGCGCGCGATTCACAAGGCGGGAGAGAGAGGAAAAGGGAGGAGAGTGATGTCCTCGACGTTCTCCGACCGTGCTTTTTATCTCTCACTCGCCTGCGGGGTCCGTCGGATCGTTCCTCGGGGACGACTCTTCTCGCTTCCCCGATTATCCTTCCGCCTCCTCTTCGAGCCTCTCCAGTCGAGACGAACGGATGAGGGAGACGAAGATTCTTGAATCCTCACGAAGCGCGCGACGCTCGAAACATCGTACTGTCGGCAACGCTCGCACGCTCGTCCGCGCGAGAAACAAAACACGAGGACCGAGGATCGCGCCCAGGCTGGCTGTGGGATCCTCGTCGCGCACTACGAGATGCACGCGGGGACGCGTGCCTGTACGTACGTACGTGCGCGCGCACTCCGGAAGAAAAGGAGAAAAAAGGAGAGAATCCCTCGTTCCTCGCGAGCCCCGATCTCGATCCGTGTAAGAACGAACGACTCGAACGATCGCCCGCACACGCGCGCGCGCTGCTCTGCGTGTGTCGTGTGTATGCGTGCGCGCGCGGGACTAACGGTTTGTCGGCGTCGATATATACGTGTATATGTATATATATATATCGCGCACGTCCTTATCTCGATAACGCGCCTCGGCCACGGGACGATTCGCGGTGGGCCTCGTACTGCTCTGTCGGCTTACCGAGATCGCGCGGTTTATTTACATTCGCTCGGCCGTCCGCCGCGCAAGTCGATCCTCTTTCCTTCCTTCTCGTCCTCCCTCGTGTCCGCGTAAAAGCACACTTGGAATATCCTCCCGACTCGGTTCGGCGCGCTCAACGCCGCAGCTCGCGTATCGCGAGAACGCTCGCGTACATTAGCGTCGGGGATGCGTGCCGTGATGCGTGCGATGCGCGCGGGGCCTCCCCTTCACGTTCGGCGACGACGGCTGTAGCTCGGTCTCGTTATCGACGCCTCGGCCGCCGAGTATTTCGCAGTTCTTCATACGTGGAACAAACGAATAAATCATTCGAACCGAGAAGAGCTCATCCCCTCGATGCGGGAGAGTCGTCGGGCGCGCGTGATCGAGACGGGAAACTCGCGCGCGGACGTCGCGCGGAGGCTCAGGCGGAGACCGGCGGAGGCGCGTCGCGCGACCGCCCGGCCAATCGGCGCCCTCCGCTCCCGGCGAGGCGCCACCCGATTGGCCGCGGCCCGCGGACAAGACGCGTCCGCGAACCGCGACCGTCGGCAAATTAAAATCGCCGGGGAGACGAGGCGCCATATTTAAATACAAAAAAAACAAACAGCAGAGAATGTTTATGAAAACGTCTCTCATCTTTCTTTTTCACTTTCTCTGCTTTTTTTTCTTTTCTCTTCTCTTTTTTCTCCGATTAAATCCCCGGTCGCGGCTGGTTTGATACCGAAATAGATTTTATCTTTAGCGAGGAAGGACCTTTCCATCCTCATTGTGTACATACTCGCTATGTATTACATATTATTATTATGTACACGCTGTCAGAAACGTCGCGTTTAATCAATGACGGCGGGCTCTATAAAAAGACCGAGGGCGAGCTGTTTTTTTTTCCCGTTCTCGCGGTAAATGTCAAATCGCGAGCGGCCATTTTCCTTCCGGGTCGCTTGGCCGTTGGCCGCCTCGCGCGCACACACATGTAACATACGCGCGTATTGTGCACTCATGGCGTCACACAGCTGACGTGTATACGTGCATACCGACCGCGCGGAGTGCTCGAGTGGAATGGTACGCGAGGATCGCCGTCAAGACGGGAGTACACCACCGCTGCACGGCACGCAGGACAGCCCTCGAGGGGAGTGGTGAACCGAATCTCGGCACGAGACCGACGTTCTCGCATAACCTCGGCGTCGTCGCCGGCGATTAATTGCCGAATGCGCTACGAAGTCGCGAGTCACCGTTGAACCTGGCGAACACTGGCGAGTCGCCTTTCCCGAAAGGTGAGTTACCGTACCCCCGTCGAACATGCGATTGGAGACGTCGACGACGACTTGCTCGACTCTCCCTGGAGGACGCGTCCAACTCGGGACTTCTCTCCATTCACATTAAAAAAAAATCTATGAACGAAAGGAGGATGGCGTGAGGAAAAGGAGGAAAGAGCACGTGCGATGACTAGGTCGAATGTGAAAGGCAATCGGGATGGAATCATTCGAACTCGTGATTTCATCCAGCATGCCGAGATCTTATGTTCAAACTTTCAGTCTTGGTCTACAATAGGTGTTTTAAGCCCTAAGCCTTACTGCCTATCTAAAATAAGTGTTTTAAGCCCTAGCCCTAAGAAATTGATCAATCACAGAACAATTATTCTGCTCAAATTCAATTGTGACTGAACAATTTCTTAAGGCTTGGGGCTTAAAACACTTATTGTAGATGGGCACTTGAGAAATTGTTCAATCACAGTTGAATTTGAGGAAAATAATTGACTGTGACTGTCGGTCAATTTCTTAGGGCTTAGGGCTTAAAACTAGAGCTCTATTAAAACACCTATAGTAGACTGGGACCTATGTTCAAAACCCAGACTCTATGTATCTTAATGTAAAATTAAAAAGCAATAGTTTACATTATATTGCTCGTTGTCGCAGCTTTGTTTCTGTTATTAACATTTGAAAATTGATATTCGAACTAAGCAATACACGTTTGAGGATAAAACGACATAACTGTATTTTTTGTTACTTGTTTGTGGGTAAATGGGATTTGTATCTGTTTGCAGATGTCGTTGACGTTTCAGCAGATTATATTGGATGCCAAGAAATTGGTCATTCGATTTTCCGACCATGAGAACACTGCAGATACCCTGATAAGTGAGGTAGAGGCTGTGTATGGACAAATTGATAACATGAAACAGGTAGATAATAGAGATATATTTTACAAATATGCATATATTACAAGTACTAAAGTTACATAGTTTGCTATATTATGTGTTTATAATTTTATATCTGCAGTATCAAGAGGAAGTAGAAATTTTAAATACAGAAGCAAAACAAAGACCGCACCTGCAATTGATCGCTGGAATCCAAAGGGAAAATAAACACTTGCGAGAAATACAGTCAGAGAATAAGGAGTTGAGAAACGCCTTAGAAGACCACCAGCATGCGCTTGAGCTCATAATGTCCAAATACCGACAGCAAACTGCCTCTTTATTACGTCTCAGCAAAACTGATTATTCATCCATGCACAATTCTAAATACGCTAATGTAAGTAAAAATATTTCTGTCTTAAATAACAAATAAGTTAAGATTTATAATCCTCTATCTAAAATTCTTACTATTTATTATTAATAAAATAGATTTGCTTATTAATCTAACTCAGAAACTACAATGCAAGAGATTAAAAAATACAATGTGTCCCCATATATATTTTATTAATATATGTATATTGTTAATTTACAGATAATAACCAGTCAAGCAGAGAAAATTAATGAAATGGCAGCCGTAATGAAGACAGCCGCTGCCTTAGATGAGGAGAATGAATTGAAGGAAAAGGAGGCGTTTCATACTTTGAAGGAGGAGAATGCCACGCTTCGAGAAATAGTAAATATTGCAAATAAATACGGTTCCTTAAACCAAGAATGTTCTGTAGAAAGCAAAACCGTTCAAACGGATCCGCCAATAGATTAAAGATATATTTGCTAGAGCTTTCGATCCTTTTTATAAAATGTTGACCAGTATTTATTTCACACACAAACTCATGACATATAATATTACTAGGTAGAATCTATTATACGTATAGGTACGAAGTGTATGTGCAAGTTGTAGTATATGTACGCGTATTCATTTGTAAAATAAATTGTACAAGCCATTTGCAACATATAATTTATCTTATAATTTGTATCGTTTATCGAGATTATTATATTATCGTATATCTTCTTTTCATATATTCTCTTATATAAAATGCAACATTTGTTTGATAAAGAATGGCAAATCATGCAACCAAAAAATTTTCGTCGACTTTATCTTGGAAAAGCTTTTTTGAAATGTTTTAAAAGAAATTATTTTTTCACAGCTTACGCCATAAAACACAAGTTTTCATTTAATATAATATATTTAAGTATATTTATAGTATTTTTTTATATGTAATATAGTATATATATGTCGAGTTCATTCCCCACAGTATCCCAGTTTTTTTTTTGTGGATTTTCTAGGGATTTTGCGAAAAAAAAAA